AGGGTCGGCGATCGGGGCCAGAGGGACTGGAGCCGGGACGGGGAGCGGGGCCAGGCCAGGGCGAATGGGGCTGGGATCCGCATGAGGATCGAGGTCGGAACAGGGACAGTGGTTGGGATTGGGATCTGCATGAGGATCGGGGTCAGAATTGGGATCCACATGAGGATCGGGGCTGGGATTGGGATCCGCATGGGATTGGGGTTGGGACAGGGACAGGGACAGTGGTTGGGATTGGGGTTGGGACAGGGACAGGTTGGGGCTGGGATGGGATCAGGATTGGATCGAGATAAGGACTGGAGTCAGGATGGGCATTGGGGTCAGCATCAGGGCCAAGGTCGGGATAGGGATTGGGATCGTGGTCAGGGTTGGGGCCAGAATGGGGATGGGATTGGGGTCTGGGTTGGGGTCAGGGTAGTGCCCAGGGCTGGGTGAGGAGGATCAGGATGTGGGTTGGGTTCAGGACTAGGACCAGGATTTTCCAACCCAAGCAATTCCTCATTCCTGGAAACCTGCATTCCCGTTCAAATCCATTCAGGCTCTGCAGTGGTGCCTTTCCCAGGATGTCACCCCAGTGACCCTCAGCGGCCACCTGTGGGACCACTCCTCCAGGCCTGGCTGCTGGCAGCCCGTTTCCAGTGCCTGTGGAGCCCTTCCAGCCGGGAATCCTGCCATGGAGAAGGTGGATCCGCGCTTCGTGCACCTACTCCAGCCCATCCGAGACCTCACCAAGAACTGGGACGTGGAGGTGGCTACACAGCTTGAGGAGTACCTGGAGGATGTGAGGGGCACTCCTGGCTCTGCCCTCTCCCTGTGCCACCCCCAGATCCCACGGGGAGTCAGCTCCTCCTCTCCCTGCCTTTCCCAGGTGGATCAGATCTGCATCTCCTTTGACAACGGGAGAACCACCATGAAGTTTGTGGAAGCAGCACTGCTGATCCAGGGCTCTGCCTGCATCTACAGCAGGAAGGTGAGGGCACAGCTGAGCTCAGCTGCATCCCAATCCCAAGCCAGGCCCATCCCGTCACCCCTGGGCTCGCCCTGCGATCCCTTCTGCACTTGGGAAGACTGGAATGAAGTCACTAAGGGGAATGAAAGGATTTAGGCCTATCATTCCTTAGTTTATTCCTGTTGTGGGTGTTGGCAGCCAAGGGAAAAGCAGGAATTCTGCTGTGTTCCACTTTTTCCTTCAGAAGGTTGAATGGAAAGTCATATCCGTCACAAAAGCATAGACTGGTTTGTGTGGGAATGAATGACCTTGCAGCGCACCCAGTGCCACCCTCTGCTGTGGGACACCTTCCACTAGCCCAGGTGGCTCCAGAATTCCAGGGATTTCCCCAAATCTGCCATCAGAATGGCTGAAATAGGGAAAAGAACTGCATGAATCCATGGAATTGGACTCCAGATGCACTGGGATAACAGGGAGGGTGGAGGTTAACCAGGTGGAGTAGCTCCCCTGGGAGCTGCTCCCCCTTTCCCAGCTCTGGGTGCTGTTTTCCAGGTAGAATACCTGTACACATTGGTGTGCCAGGCCCTGGACTGCATCTCCCAAAAAAAGTAAGTGGGAATTGCCCTTCCCAGAGGGAGTTTTCCTGGGGCTGGGAGGCTGCTGCCCTGCACAAACACTGCTGTGGGGCTCTGCCATGATCCTGGGCCATTCCCATTCCTGCATCCCATCCCCTTGGATGCTTAGGAGAGAGAGGCTGCCCTGCTCTGTGGGAGCTGACAACAAGGATGCTGATGCCATCTTCACTGAGGAGGAGGAGGAGGTGAGGGGTCCTGGGCCCCATGTCCCCCATCCCTGCTCCAGCTGGGATCCCTGGGTGGGGGCACCCTCTGCCCCTCATCCTGCCCCATTGGGGTCCCCCAGTGTCCCAGAACCAAGCCAGGGTGACCCTGTGGTGGCTCTTCCAGCCATTCCTCTCCCTGGATGACATCAGGGGCATCAGCCAGGCCAGTGTGGACATGAGGATGGACCAGCAGGCCAGTGTAAGAAAACCCAGTTTCTTCTCATCCCTCCCTGTGCCAGGGCTTTCCTGGATGGGTCCAGGGCCATCCCAGTGGGCATGGTGGCCCCAGGGACAGTGACACCTGTGCCATGCCAGGTGCCTTGCCCAGGCTCCTTCCCACCTCCCTCCCTTCCCTCCACAGATGGTGAACATCGTTCCCTTGACACCGATGTCCCTGGTCCCTCCGGAAGAGGCGGAGAAGAAGGAGAACCCCCTGCTCAGGTGCCACCCCTGGGGGGGAGCTGCTGGGGGTTTCCCCTCCCCTGCTCCATTTGGGGTTCCTCAGTGACACATGGCTCCAGGTGGGAATGTCCCATGGCCCCCCTCCCCTGGCCTGGTCAGGATACCTCAGTGGGAACACCCTGTGTCCCTCTCCCTTATTGTGGTTGGGGTCTCTGGGACCTGTGTCCCCCCTGTGCCAGGAAGGATAACCCCACGGGTGCACAATTCTTGCTGGGATCTGCCTCCTGGGGGGGCAGGATGGTGCCAGGGTGTGCAGGGAAACCAGCAAAGCCCACACTGTGTGGGTGGGAGGGCTGTGGTGACCCCACCCTGGCTTGGGGGGCTTTGGGCCCCCTGTCGTGGCCAGGGGTCCTCACAGGGTTGTCCCAGCCGGAAAGGAGAGATCCTGGGGAGCAGGAAGGATTTCCGGATGAACACTTCCACCCCCCACTCCACTGGGGCGTTCCTGCTGGAGCTGGGGGGGCTCTCCCCCACACACCTGCAGCAGAAGCAGCTCCAGCTCTGGGACAGTCACAGGTACATGGGGGGGCCTGGGGGGCATGGGGTGTCCCTGGGGTGGGCACTGACCTGGC